GAGGGAACTGATTGTAAAATCATGTCTGGTATGAGGGAACTGATTGTAAAATCATGTCTGGTAGGAGTGAACTGATTGTAAAATCATGCCTGGGTAGGAGGGAACTGATTGTAAAATCATGTCTGGTATGAGGGAACTGATTGTAAAATCATGTCCGTGTAGAAGGGAACTAATTGTATAATCATGTCTGTGTAGGAGGGAACTGATTGTAAAATCATGTCTATTAGGAGGGAACTGATTGTAAAATCATGCCTGGGTAGTTGGGAACTGATTGTAAAATCATGTCTGGGTAGTTGGGAACTGATTGTAAAATCATGTCTGGGTAGTTGGGAACTGATTGTAAAATCATGTCTGGGTAGGAGGGAACTGATTGTAAAATCATGTCTGGGTAGGAGGGAACTGATTGTAAAATCATGTCTGTTAGGAGGGAACTGATTGTAAAATCATGTCTGGTATGAGGGAACTGATTGTAAAATCATGTCTGGTAGGAGTGAACTGATTGTAAAATCATGCCTGGGTAGGAGGGAACTGATTGTAAAATCATGTCTGGTATGAGGGAACTGATTGTAAAATCATGTCCGTGTAGAAGGGAACTAATTGTATAATCATGTCTGTGTAGGAGGGAACTGATTGTAAAATCATGTCTATTAGGAGGGAACTGATTGTAAAATCATGCCTGGGTAGTTGGGAACTGATTGTAAAATCATGTCTGGGTAGTTGGGAACTGATTGTAAAATCATGTCTGGGTAGTTGGGAACTGATTGTAAAATCATGTCTGGGTAGGAGGGAACTGATTGTAAAATCATGTCTGGGTAGGAGGGAACTGATTGTAAAATCATGTCTGGGTAGGAGGGAACTGATTGTAAAATCATGTCTGTTAGGAGGGAACTGATTGTAAAATCATGTCTGTTAGGAGGGAACTGATTGTAAAATCATGTCTGGGTAGGAGGGAACTGATTGTAAAATCATGTCTGTTAGGAGGGAACTGATTGTAAAATCATGTCTGGGTAGTTGGGAACTGATTGTAAAATCATGTCTGGGTAGTTGGGAACTGATTGTAAAATCATGTCTATTTGGAGGGAACTGATTGTAAAATCATGTCTGGGTAGGAGGGAACTGATTGTAAAATCATGTCTGTTAGGAGGGAACTGATTGTAAAATCATGTCTGGGTAGGAGGGAACTGATTGTAAAATCATGTCTGTTAGGAGGGAACTGATTGTAAAATCATGTCTGGTATGAGGGAACTGATTGTAAAATCATGTGTGGGTAGTTGGGAACTGATTGTAAAATCATGTCTGGGTAGGAGGGAACTGATTGTAAAATCATGTCTGGGTAGGAGGGAACTGATTGTAAAATCATGTCTGTTAGGAGGGAACTGATTGTAAAATCATGTCTGTTAGGAGGGAACTGATTGTAAAATCATGTCTGGGTAGGAGGGAACTGATTGTAAAATCATGTCTGTTAGGAGGGAACTGATTGTAAAATCATGTCTGGGTAGTTGGGAACTGATTGTAAAATCATGTCTGGGTAGTTGGGAACTGATTGTAAAATCATGTCTATTTGGAGGGAACTGATTGTAAAATCATGTCTGGGTAGGAGGGAACTGATTGTAAAATCATGTCTGTTAGGAGGGAACTGATTGTAAAATCATGTCTGGGTAGGAGGGAACTGATTGTAAAATCATGTCTATTTGGAGGGAACTGATTGTAAAATCATGTCTGGTATGAGGGAACTGATTGTAAAATCATGTCTGGGTAGAAGGGAACTGATTGTAAAATCATGTCTGGTATGAGGGAACTGATTGTAAAATCATGTCTATTAGGAGGGAACTGATTGTAAAATCATGTCTGGTATGAGGGAACTGATTGTAAAATCATGTCTGTGTAGAAGGGAACTGATTGTAAAATCATGTCTGGAATGAGGGAACTGATTGTAAAATCATGTCTGGGTAGAAGGGAACTAATTGTAAAATGATGTCTGTTAGGAGGGAGCTGATTGTAAAATCATGTCTGTTAGGAGGGAGCTGATTGTAAAATCATGTCTGGGTAGGAGGGAACTGATTGTAAAATCATGTCTATTAGGAGGGAACTGATTGTAAAATCATGTCTGTTAGGAGGGAACTGATTGTAAAATCATGTCTGGGTAGGAGGGAACTGATTGTAAAATCATGTCTGTTAGGAGGGAGCTGATTGTAAAATCATGTCTGTTAGGAGGGAACTGATTGTAAAATCATGTCTATTAGGAGGGAACTGATTGTAAAATCATGTCTGGTATGAGGGAACTGATTGTAAAATCATGTCTGTGTAGAAGGGAACTGATTGTAAAATCATGTCTTTTAGGAGGGAACTGATTGTAAAATCATGTCTGGGTAGGAGGGAACTGATTGTAAAATCATGTCTGGTATGAGGGAACTGATTGTAAAATCATGTCTGTGTAGAAGGGAACTGATTGTAAAATCATGTCTGTGTAGAAGGGAACTGATTGTAAAATCATGTCTGGTATGAGGGAACTGATTGTAAAATCATGTCTGTGTAGAAGGGAACTGATTGTAAAATCATGTCTGGTAGGAGGGAACTGATTGTAAAATCATGTCTATTAGGAGGGAACTGATTGTAAAATCATGTCTGGTATGAGGGAACTGATTGTAAAATCATGTCCGTGTAGAAGGGAACTGATTGTAAAATCAAATCTGGGTAGTTGGGAACTGATTGTAAAATCATGTCTATTAGGAGGGAAATGATTGTAAAATCATGTCTGGGTAGTTGGGAACTAATTGTATAATCATGTCTGGGTAGGAGGGAACTGATTGTAAAATCATGTTTGTTAGGAGGGAACTGATTGTAAAATCATGTCTGGGTAGGAGGGAACTGATTGTAAAATCATGTCTGTGTAGGAGGGAACTGATTGTAAAATCATGTCTATTAGGAGGGAACTGATTGTAAAATCATGTCTATTAGGAGGGAACTGATTGTAAAATCATGTCTGGTATGAGGGGACTGATTGTAAAATCATGTCTGTGTAGAAGGGAACTGATTGTAAAATCATGTCTATTAGGAGGGAACTGATTGTAAAATCATGTCTGGGTAGGAGGGAACTGATTGTAAAATCATGTCTGGTATGAGGGAACTGATTGTAAAATCATGTCTGTGTAGAAGGGAACTGATTGTAAAATCATGTCTGTGTAGAAGGGAACTGATTGTAAAATCATGTCTGGGTAGTAGGGAACTGATTGTAAAATCATGTCTGTGTAGAAGGGAACTGATTGTAAAATCATGTCTGGTAGGAGGGAACTGATTGTAAAATCATGTCTATTAGGAGGGAACTGATTGTAAAATCATGTCTATTAGGAGGGAACTGATTGTAAAATCATGTCTGTGTAGAAGGGAACTGATTGTAAAATCAAATCTGGGTAGTTGGGAACTGATTGTAAAATCATGTCTATTAGGAGGGTACTGATTGTAAAATCATGTCTGGGTAGTTGGGAACTAATTGTATAATCATGTCTGGGTAGGAGTGAACTGATTGTAAAATCATGTTTGTTAGGAGGGAACTGATTGTAAAATCATGTCTGGTATGAGGGAACTGATTGTAAAATCATGTCTGGTAGGAGTGAACTGATTGTAAAATCATGCCTGGGTAGGAGGGAACTGATTGTAAAATCATGTCTGGTATGAGGGAACTGATTGTAAAATCATGTCCGTGTAGGAGGGAACTGATTGTAAAATCATGTCTGTGTAGGAGGGAACTGATTGTAAAATCATGTCTATTAGGAGGGAACTGATTGTAAAATCATGTCTGTTAGGAGGGAGCTGATTGTAAAATCATGTCTGTTAGGAGGGAACTGATTGTAAAATCATGTCTGGGTAGAAGGGAACTGATTGTAAAATCATGTCTATTAGGAGGGAACTGATTGTAAAATCATGTCTGGTATGAGGGAACTGATTGTAAAATCATGTCTGTGTAGAAGGGAACTGATTGTAAAATCATGTCTGGGTAGGAGGGAACTGATTGTAAAATCATGTCTGGGTAGGAGGGAACTGATTGTAAAATCATGTCTGTTAGGAGGGAACTGATTGTAAAATCATGTCTGTTAGGAGGGAACTGATTGTAAAATCATGTCTGGGTAGGAGGGAACTGATTGTAAAATCATGTCTGTTAGGAGGGAACTGATTGTAAAATCATGTCTGGGTAGTTGGGAACTGATTGTAAAATCATGTCTGGGTAGTTGGGAACTGATTGTAAAATCATGTCTATTTGGAGGGAACTGATTGTAAAATCATGTCTGTGTAGAAGGGAACTGATTGTAAAATCATGTCTGGTATGAGGGAACTGATTGTAAAATCATGTCTATTAGGAGGGAACTGATTGTAAAATCATGTCTGGTATGAGGGAACTGATTGTAAAATCATGTCTGTGTAGAAGGGAACTGATTGTAAAATCATGTCTGGAATGAGGGAACTGATTGTAAAATCATGTCTGGGTAGGAGGGAACTGATTGTAAAATCATGTCTGGTATGAGGGAACTGATTGTAAAATCATGTCTGGGTAGGAGGGAACTGATTGTAAAATGATGTCTGTTAGGAGGGAACTGATTGTAAAATCATGTCTGGGTAGAAGGGAACTGATTGTAAAATCATGTCTGGGTAGAAGGGAACTGATTGTAAAATCATGTCTGTTAGGAGGGAACTGATTGTAAAATCATGTCTGGGTAGTTGGAAACTGATTGTAAAATCATGTCTGTGTAGAAGGGAACTGATTGTAAAATCATGTCTGGTATGAGGGAACTGATTGTAAAATCATGTCTGGGTAGGAGGGAACTGATTGTAAAATCATGTCTATTAGGAGGGAACTGATTGTAAAATCATGTCTGGTATGAGGTAACTGATTGTAAAATCATGTCTGGTATGAGGGAACTGATTGTAACATAACAGAATAGAAATATCAAACAGGAGATGGGAGCTGTAAAGTGTTTGACCAGTTGAAAAGCCTTTGTGCTCACCTCATCATATTTATAACTGTGTGGGACTTTGGACTTGGTATTTTGGATGCTTTCAAATCTCTTGAGAAGTGGGATAAGTGGGGCAGAGAGCAGGCTGGTGCTGACACGATTGTCGTAGTCATGGTGACTGTTGTTCCACAGGTTGAGAAGCAGAAGGACAGCCTGCAGGATGCTGCTGAGTGCTCCCCTCTGGACAGCCAGCTCCAGGATGAGACACAGAGCAATCTGCTGGTCCTGGACTGGGATCTTTGTCTGTCCAGCACTGACATTCAGCTCTCTGAAACACAAACCCTATGGCATATTCAATATTTCCTGCTTCTCAGTATGACTAATGTATGTGTAAATATTGCCTGAATGTCAGTAAGACTAAGGTATGTTTGAATATTGCCTGCTTGTAAATATGACTAATGCATATGTGAATATTGCCTGCTTGTAAATATGACTAATGAATGTGTGAATTTTGCCTGAATGTCAGTATGACTAATGTATGTGTGAATATTGCCTGAATGTCAGTATGACTAATGTATGTGTGAATATTGCCTGAATACTAGATGTTGCGCTCCACAGTCAACCAGTGTGTTTACAAAAGGTTAGGATGATGGATGTATATGTGTGGGTGTTAGGATAACAGATTTTGTGTGGATGTGACCTGGATGTAAAAGTTAGGATAACAGAGATTTTAGGTGGATGTGATCTGGATGGTAAAACAATTAGTTAATAGATTATCTTAAATATGGACTTGTGTTGCCTACTAGTAACCCAGGCCTTATCCCAAGCGTAAGTACATAGCATTCCTTATTACTAAACGTCATGACAAAAAGTACAGTTTTTATTTCTTTTTACTTTTACAGATAATCACTTAATAACCTACATACAATAAATAGCAGAAATGAACAAATAAGCTTGCTAATCTAATTAGAATGATCACTGAATGAATGAGCAAGTAAAAAGTAAAATCAATAGATTACCCAGCAACAACGAAATGTAGAAATTTGGTTGCTCTCTCCACAACCTCCAGCCAAACAGATGAGACGGATCCTTCTTCAAATAATGAGGCTTCAGGCAGGGACCTCAGTGCATCCAGAGATTCCTGGTCAATACAACATAGGCTCAAGTTACGGCATTTTTTAATAGGCTCAAGTTATGGCATTTTTTAATAGGCTCAAGTTATGGCATGTTTTCAATAGGCTCAAGTTATGGCATTTTTTAATAGGCTCAAGTTATGGCATGTTTTCAATAGGCTCAAGTTATGGTGTGTTTTAATAGGCTCAAGTTATGGAATGTTTTCAATAGGCTCAAGTTATGGCATTTTTTAATAGGCTCAAGTTATGGTGTGTTTTCAATAGGCTCAAGTTATGGCATTTTTTAATAGGCTCAAGTTATGGTGTGTTTTCAATAGGCTCAAGTTATGGCATTTTTTAATAGGCTCAAGTTATGGCATGTTTTTAATAGGCTCAAGTTATGGCATGTTTTCAATAGGCTCAGGTTATGGAATTTTTCAATAGGCTCAGGTTATGGCATGTTTTCAATAGGCTCAAGTTATGGCATGTTTTCAATAGGCTCAAGTTATGGAATGTTTTCAATAGGCTCAAGTTATGGTGTGTTTTCAATAGGCTCAAGTTATGGAATGTTTTCAATAGGCTCAAGTTATGGCATTTTTTAATAGGCTCAAGTTATGGCATGTTTTTAATAGGCTCAGGTTATGGAATTTTTCAATAGGCTCAGGTTATGGCATGTTTTCAATAGGCTCAAGTTATGGCATTTTTTAATAGGCTCAAGTTATGGCATGTTTTCAATAGGCTCAAGTTATGGAATGTTTTCAATAGGCTCAAGTTATGGCATGTTTTCAATAGGCTCAAGTTATGGCATTTTTTAATAGGCTCAAGTTATGGAATGTTTTCAATAGGCTCAAGTTATGGCATTTTTTAATAGGCTCAAGTTATGGCATTTTTCAATAGGCTCAAGTTATGGAATGTTTTCAATAGGCTCAAGTTATGGCATGTTTTCAATAGGCTCAAGTTATGGAATGTTTCAATAGTCTCAAGTTATGGTGTGTTTTCAATCAGCTTAAGTTATGGCATGTTTTTAATAGGCTCAAGTTATGGAATGTTTTCAATAGGCTCAAGTTATGGAATGTTTTCAATAGGCTCAAGTTATGGCATGTTTTCAATAGGCTCAAGTTATGGAATGTTTTCAATAGGCTCAAGTTATGGAATGTTTTCAATAGGCTCAAGTTATGGAATGTTTTCAATAGGCTCAAGTTATGGAATGTTTTCAATAGGCTCAAGTTATGGAATGTTTTCAATAGGCTCAAGTTATGGCATGTTTTCAATAGGCTCAAGTTATGGAATGTTTTCAATAGGCTCAAGTTATGGTGTGTTTTCAATAGGCTCAAGTTATGGTGTGTTTTCAATAGGCTCAAGTTATGGAATGTTTTCAATAGGCTCAAGTTATGTTGTGTTTTCAATAGGCTCAAGTTATGGCATGTTTTCAATAGGCTCAAGTTATGGCATGTTTTCAATAGGCTCAAGTTATGGAATGTTTTCAATAGGCTCAAGTTATGGAATGTTTTCAATAGGCTCAAGTTATGGCATGTTTTCAATAGGCTCAAGTTATGGAATGTTTTCAATAGGCTCAAGTTATGGTGTGTTTTCAATAGGCTCAAGTTATGGTGTGTTTTCAATAGGCTCAAGTTATGGAATGTTTTCAATAGGCTCAAGTTATGGCATTTTTTAATAGGCTCAAGTTATGGTGTGTTTTCAATAGGCTCAAGTTATGGCATTTTTTAATAGGCTCAAGTTATGGTGTGTTTTCAATAGGCTCAAGTTATGGCATTTTTTAATAGGCTCAAGTTATGGCATGTTTTTAATAGGCTCAAGTTATGGCATGTTTTCAATAGGCTCAGGTTATGGAATTTTTCAATAGGCTCAGGTTATGGCATGTTTTCAATAGGCTCAAGTTATGGCATGTTTTCAATAGGCTCAAGTTATGGAATGTTTTCAATAGGCTCAAGTTATGGTGTGTTTTCAATAGGCTCAAGTTATGGAATGTTTTCAATAGGCTCAAGTTATGGCATTTTTTAATAGGCTCAAGTTATGGCATGTTTTTAATAGGCTCAGGTTATGGAATTTTTCAATAGGCTCAGGTTATGGCATGTTTTCAATAGGCTCAAGTTATGGCATTTTTTAATAGGCTCAAGTTATGGCATGTTTTCAATAGGCTCAAGTTATGGAATGTTTTCAATAGGCTCAAGTTATGGCATGTTTTCAATAGGCTCAAGTTATGGCATTTTTTAATAGGCTCAAGTTATGGAATGTTTTCAATAGGCTCAAGTTATGGCATTTTTTAATAGGCTCAAGTTATGGCATTTTTCAATAGGCTCAAGTTATGGAATGTTTTCAATAGGCTCAAGTTATGGCATGTTTTCAATAGGCTCAAGTTATGGAATGTTTCAATAGTCTCAAGTTATGGTGTGTTTTCAATCAGCTTAAGTTATGGCATGTTTTTAATAGGCTCAAGTTATGGAATGTTTTCAATAGGCTCAAGTTATGGAATGTTTTCAATAGGCTCAAGTTATGGCATGTTTTCAATAGGCTCAAGTTATGGAATGTTTTCAATAGGCTCAAGTTATGGAATGTTTTCAATAGGCTCAAGTTATGGAATGTTTTCAATAGGCTCAAGTTATGGAATGTTTTCAATAGGCTCAAGTTATGGAATGTTTTCAATAGGCTCAAGTTATGGCATGTTTTCAATAGGCTCAAGTTATGGAATGTTTTCAATAGGCTCAAGTTATGGTGTGTTTTCAATAGGCTCAAGTTATGGTGTGTTTTCAATAGGCTCAAGTTATGGAATGTTTTCAATAGGCTCAAGTTATGTTGTGTTTTCAATAGGCTCAAGTTATGGCATGTTTTCAATAGGCTCAAGTTATGGCATGTTTTCAATAGGCTCAAGTTATGGAATGTTTTCAATAGGCTCAAGTTATGGAATGTTTTCAATAGGCTCAAGTTATGGCATGTTTTCAATAGGCTCAAGTTATGGAATGTTTTCAATAGGCTCAAGTTATGGTGTGTTTTCAATAGGCTCAAGTTATGGAATGTTTTCAATAGGCTCAAGTTATGGCATTTTTTAATAGGCTCAAGTTATGGCATGTTTTTAATAGGCTCAGGTTATGGAATTTTTCAATAGGCTCAGGTTATGGCATGTTTTCAATAGGCTCAAGTTATGGCATTTTTTAATAGGCTCAAGTTATGGCATGTTTTCAATAGGCTCAAGTTATGGAATGTTTTCAATAGGCTCAAGTTATGGCATGTTTTCAATAGGCTCAAGTTATGGCATTTTTTAATAGGCTCAAGTTATGGAATGTTTTCAATAGGCTCAAGTTATGGCATTTTTTAATAGGCTCAAGTTATGGCATTTTTCAATAGGCTCAAGTTATGGAATGTTTTCAATAGGCTCAAGTTATGGCATGTTTTCAATAGGCTCAAGTTATGGAATGTTTCAATAGTCTCAAGTTATGGTGTGTTTTCAATCAGCTTAAGTTATGGCATGTTTTTAATAGGCTCAAGTTATGGAATGTTTTCAATAGGCTCAAGTTATGGAATGTTTTCAATAGGCTCAAGTTATGGCATGTTTTCAATAGGCTCAAGTTATGGAATGTTTTCAATAGGCTCAAGTTATGGAATGTTTTCAATAGGCTCAAGTTATGGAATGTTTTCAATAGGCTCAAGTTATGGAATGTTTTCAATAGGCTCAAGTTATGGAATGTTTTCAATAGGCTCAAGTTATGGCATGTTTTCAATAGGCTCAAGTTATGGAATGTTTTCAATAGGCTCAAGTTATGGTGTGTTTTCAATAGGCTCAAGTTATGGTGTGTTTTCAATAGGCTCAAGTTATGGAATGTTTTCAATAGGCTCAAGTTATGTTGTGTTTTCAATAGGCTCAAGTTATGGCATGTTTTCAATAGGCTCAAGTTATGGCATGTTTTCAATAGGCTCAAGTTATGGAATGTTTTCAATAGGCTCAAGTTATGGAATGTTTTCAATAGGCTCAAGTTATGGCATGTTTTCAATAGGCTCAAGTTATGGAATGTTTTCAATAGGCTCAAGTTATGGTGTGTTTTCAATAGGCTCAAGTTATGGTGTGTTTTCAATAGGCTCAAGTTATGGAATGTTTTCAATAGGCTCAAGTTATGGCATTTTTTAATAGGCTCAAGTTATGGTGTGTTTTCAATAGGCTCAAGTTATGGCATTTTTTAATAGGCTCAAGTTATGGTGTGTTTTCAATAGGCTCAAGTTATGGCATTTTTTAATAGGCTCAAGTTATGGCATGTTTTTAATAGGCTCAAGTTATGGCATGTTTTCAATAGGCTCAGGTTATGGAATTTTTCAATAGGCTCAGGTTATGGCATGTTTTCAATAGGCTCAAGTTATGGCATGTTTTCAATAGGCTCAAGTTATGGAATGTTTTCAATAGGCTCAAGTTATGGTGTGTTTTCAATAGGCTCAAGTTATGGAATGTTTTCAATAGGCTCAAGTTATGGCATTTTTTAATAGGCTCAAGTTATGGCATGTTTTTAATAGGCTCAGGTTATGGAATTTTTCAATAGGCTCAGGTTATGGCATGTTTTCAATAGGCTCAAGTTATGGCATTTTTTAATAGGCTCAAGTTATGGCATGTTTTCAATAGGCTCAAGTTATGGAATGTTTTCAATAGGCTCAAGTTATGGCATGTTTTCAATAGGCTCAAGTTATGGCATTTTTTAATAGGCTCAAGTTATGGAATGTTTTCAATAGGCTCAAGTTATGGCATTTTTTAATAGGCTCAAGTTATGGCATTTTTCAATAGGCTCAAGTTATGGAATGTTTTCAATAGGCTCAAGTTATGGCATGTTTTCAATAGGCTCAAGTTATGGAATGTTTCAATAGTCTCAAGTTATGGTGTGTTTTCAATCAGCTTAAGTTATGGCATGTTTTTAATAGGCTCAAGTTATGGAATGTTTTCAATAGGCTCAAGTTATGGAATGTTTTCAATAGGCTCAAGTTATGGCATGTTTTCAATAGGCTCAAGTTATGGAATGTTTTCAATAGGCTC